GAGAATGCAAGCCGCAAACTTCGGTAGATTCACTGAGGGAAATGGCATTGGTGCGACAGGTTACATGAGAATGCGAACTGCAAACTTCTGTGGATTCCGAGGAAGATGGCCTTGATGCAAGAGGCTGCACAAGAGCCGGCAGCAAGGTGTCACTGGAGACGAGACGGCAGCACTGCTGCGTGCTCTGAAGGAGGAAGAGGCCATCAAGGAAAAAAACGAACTCCTGGGGGAAGCACAGGCAGAGGTGGCACGAGAACATCAGCTGCAAAGCATTGAGCTGAAGGTAAGAGACCTTCTGAAGAATGGGGTAGCATTGCTGCGAGGCACAGTAGAGAAGGTAAAGGTTGTAGCAGAGGAGGCACTCAGGGGAGGAGAGAAAGGTGCCATCAGCCCCAGAAATGCAGGAGCTGGGGAAGGATGAAGGGGTGGTGCCAGAGACACTGGCGCCTCCTGTATTGAAAACACACCCAGTAGTTGTAAAGAAAATAAAGACCCAGCAGCTGAAAGGAGAGGAGCAGCCCCCTCCCCAGGTCATGGAGCACTCTATGGTCCACCCCTATACCGAGGCTGAGCGGGTGGATTTGGGCTCTCAGTTTAGGCAGAAGCCCTCGGAGTCAATACCAGCTTGGTTCCTGCGTCTGTGGGACATAGGGGTGGATGGAATTGTTCTGTCAGGATCAGAGTTGGGAAAGCTGTCTTCCCTGACAGTGCAGCCTGCCTTGAGGCAGTAATTACAAAATGCACATCAGACCACAAGGAGTCACTCCCTCCTCCATTGGCTTATGGCTGCACTTCTTGCTGTGTGGCCCAATCCGGGTGATCTGCCATCCTCTCCTGTTAGATGGCAGACATATGCTGAACTCCTACAGGTGCTATGAGAGCCAGGCATAAGAAATGCCATCTATAGTCCAGAGAATTATAACCCAGATGAAGAGATTTTCACTACTGGGATGAGAAATATTATACTTCAAATGGCTCCTACATGCCTCTTTGGGTCTCTAGTGGCCATTCCTTCCCCTCACTTAGGGCAGCCCATAGCGAGGTGACACGTACAGCAGCAGACTTAGGAGAGGCAGAAGCAACAAGAATCCGGAAAGAAATAAGACCTATTACTCACAAGAACAATTTACAGGGCCCTATAAAGGTTATGACGACCCAGATGTGGGTTGATTTAATACAGGCAGGAGCAGATGGAAGGAAATTAGATGGAAAGTTCAACAGGATCTTATTAGAGCTATGGCAACAGCTGAAACCGAGCAGCAGTTCCAGCCATTAAGACCAAAGAGGGAGAGGTCAGAGACAGAGCCACAAGTCCAGCCTGTGTGTCTGCAAGACTTTTTGCTGGAGAGGCTGGAGAACAATGTTCAAGCTTCCTTGCACAGGGACCATTGCAGAGGACTAAGGGCACATGGATTGAGAGGAGAGAATCCTGGAGGGGTGGAGTGTGGATAAAATGAGAGTTCCTGTGCCCAGGATTCTCACCTGACCCTGGTTGACTAGCTCACTGCACATCTGTGGGCAATACATGGCTGTTGACTATATATAAAGAGCTCCACCCAGTGCTCTGGGCACGACATGGTGGCAGGGCTGCAAGGCTGCAGGAGAGCAGAGCAGAGACTGGGGTGGTGGCAGCGCCAAGGACAGAGGTCCAGAGGATGGCTGTGTGGGACAATTGTGCAGGACAACTGTGCAGAGAGGCCTGGAGGAGGACGGCTCTGTGGACAGAGGGGCCCAGAGGCAGAGACCAGCTTGCTGCATGCATACTCACTCTGAGTGAACGGGATTTTATTGACTGACCTGCCACCTGGAGATAAAGTTGGGTATAACCCTTTCACCCCAAGAACATTTTGCTGTCGATTTCTTTGGTCACACTGAATACATAGCAAACTTGCCCGGGGCTGAAACCCATTGGCAAGACACCTGCCTTTGCCGACTTTATAAATGTGTTTTCATTAAACCAGCTAAACCAAGACAGGCAAACACTTTTTAAAGAAAGGCATTGTTTGGCTTCTTTATTGAAGAGCAAACCAGTAACAATGGCATCATTACTTATGGATGCCAAAAACCAGTAAGAGAATAGATAAGTGTTGTGGTGCTTTCCCAGAACTTTTACAAAAACTTTCAGAGTTCATTTAAGAAAAATATAGTGAACACCTATATGCTTACCACTAAGTTCAATGCTTGCTAAAATTCTCCTTTTGCTTCATCTACTATAAATTATTTTGTTTCTGAATCATTTGAAAGTTCAGATATCATGCCAGTTCATTCTAAATTCAGCATGAGTGTCCTAGAAATACTTTCATAACCATTATCACACTTAGGAAAAAGTTACCTCTAATTCCCTAACATCATCTAATACCCATTCCACATTTAAATTCCTCCAATTGACTCCAAATAATCTATGCAGATGTCTTTTAGAGACAGATGATTTTAAATCCAATCAAGGTTTGTGTGCTGCATTTGTCTCTTTAGTCTCTGTATCAAAAAGTTTCCACACCTTTCTTTTTATAAGGACATTGAATTTTGAAGTGAGGCCAGTTGTCCTGTAGAATGCCCTATGTCCCAGATTTGTCTGTCTTCTCCACTGAAGCTGTTTCACTATCTCCTGTATTTCTTGTAAACTAAAAGATTAAATACTTGATCAGACATATATTATTGTGGCAAGAATAATCCACAGAGCAACATTAAATACTTAACATGCTTCTCATCAAGAGGCACGTGTCATTGCTATTCATAATGCCGCATTTGATCACCTGGTTAAAGTGGGGCAATCATTCCATTGTAAAGACACACTTTTTCCAGTTCCAATGAGAAAGATATGTGGGTGATACTCTGGCAGTACACAAATACCGTTTCTTTTGCATCTAATGATCTTAGCATTCACTGACCATCTTTGCCTAGATGCAAAGGGGCAATTTTTCAAATTCTGTCATTCCTTCTACATTAGCTGACTTTTTCTTCTACAGACAGTCTTCCCACAATTGGAGATGGACAGGTGCTCCTACTTAAAGGACGGGGAAAGCCCATTCTTTCCTTGATTACAGAGTAAAGAGTCTATGTAAGGTTTGCCTCTAATGGTGGACAGGGGTTTAGCCTTTCTCTTTTTTGTGTGTTACTGTGGACTCAAGAGTTTTGTTTATTCCAATGTTACCATCATTCTTTTTAACTATCAAATTACCTCAAATTTGACAAGAGGGAACCCGTCAAGCTAGCCTCCACGCCCTTCAGCATATCCCCATTAATCTTGGAGTGCCTCCCTGGGTTTTGACACGAGGTCCCAGGCTCACCACAGACACTTCAGGGCCCAAATCTAGCATTGACTATTTCCCCATGGAGTCCAGTTCCTCGCAGTAAGGCAGTGTTGGTACTGAATCTGCTCATTGCTTATAGGCCCTCTGAGTGGACAGAGATAGGAAATATACATATAATTTTAATTATATTTTCAAGTCATATTTGTCATTATAGAGTTTTACATAAATTCTTTGATTTTATGGTTGTCTCCTCAAACTGGAGGTTTTGGTTCCTAGAAACTTTAAAATTTCTTTATTTTATAATGTACATAAAATAGATTGAAAACAACATTAAAATTAATGTGTGATATTTATAAATTTTTGCAGGCCCTTTTCTCCTTAAACACATCCAATTAAGGATGTATGGTCATAATACCATGTTCAAAGTTTCTTCAATTATTTTCTCTGTGAGTAGGTTACCAATTTTATATAAAGTTGTTGATTTATTTGTTTTCAATTTAGAATCTGCTTTTATTTTTGGATATGTAAACATTTACATTTGTTCATGTCAAAATTTCATAGAAAGGTATAATCAAAGAAACCTGGCTTCCATCCCCATTTCTACCACCCTGTTCACTCCTGCCTCCATAGATATCTTGTTAGTTTGTAGTTTATCCTTCTGGTGTTTCTCTTTGCAAAATAAGCAATTTGTGTGTGTGTGTGTGTTTATGTGTGTGTGTATTATTTCCTTTTACTTCTTAAAGAAAAGGTAGTATGCTATATATAGTTTTCTGTACTTAGTTTTTCTCAATAACATTGTGGTGCAGTACTTCAAATTTGTCAAACATGTCATTTATAATGCATGTTGTAGTATAAAAATACAAAGAAACATTGGCATTTAGAGGTATCTCCCACAACCATTATTCAGCTATGGGGAGATATTACCTACTGATAACTGATTTGACATCCACTATGTCAAACATTCACAACATGCACATGTTGCACACTTATCCCAAGTACACTTCAACTGTCAGCTTGATACTACAACTTGCAATTTTCAAAAGGCTTCATATTCCACTAATGAGCAACATTGGCATTAGATGTGTCTTATGTCACATTTTTAGAATTTGATCCTACATTGGAGTCATCATTTGAGTATTACATTATTTCTAGAAAAAACAATGTACCCACATTTCTTAAATTGACAGATTTCCCCTTAGCATTAATTCCTTTCTTACATAATAGTTTGATTTTTTTCTCAAAAGCATTCATGCATATAAAACATTTACACAGTTTCACTCTATCAATTACCTGATTTGGTTAAGTTGTGACTTTGTAAATGTTTCTATACTTTTGTTGCATTCTTTCTGTTTTCCCCCTATGATTTCTATGAAGCTCATGTTTGGTTCTTAGGTGGACAACATTAATATATAGGATATTCTCAGGTTCTCTCTCTATGAGTTCTCTGATATTTAGTAAGGGATGACACAGGAAGTTTTCCAATATTCATTTCATTCACAGAAAGCCCACTAACCCTATCTCCATCAGTTTTCTGATGCCAACTAAGGGCTGAATTTACACAAATTACATTACTGCATTCATAAACTTTCCCCTGTGAGTTCTCTATGCTGTGACAAAATATGACTTCACACAGTAAAATTTTTCACATTTGAGTGACTCAGGGTATCTTTCTTGTGTGAATTACCTGATGTTTAGTGAGAGTTGACTTCTTTCAGAAGGACTTCTCACATTCGTTACATTCATAAGGCTTCTCCCTGTATGTGTTCGCTGATGTACGGTGAGGGCTGACTTCACACAGAAGGAATTTCTGCATCTCTTGCATTCATAGGGCTTCTCTCTTGTGTGAGTTCTCTGGTGGTTAATGAGGTTTGACTTCACATAAAAAGTTTTCCCACATTCATTACATTCAAAGATGTTCTTCCCGGTGTGAGTTCTTTGATGCACAGTGAGGTGTGATTTCATACAAAAAGATTTCTCACATTCACTACATTTATAGGGTTTATCTTCTGAGTTCTCTGATGTATAGTTGGGACTGACTTGTAACAGAAAGATTTCCCACACTTATTACATTCACAGGGCTTCTCCCCAGTGTGTGTTCTCTGGTGTTCAATGAGATGTGACTTCTGGAAGGGTTTCTCACATTCCTTACATTCATAAGGCTTCTCCCCTGTGTGTATTCTCTGGTGTTGACTGAGGGCTGACTTCATGTAGGACTTCCCACATTCATTGCATTCATATGGTTTCTTTCCTGTATGAGTTTTCTGGTGAACAGTTAAGGTTGACTTATGCCGAAAGGTCTTCTGGAATTCATTACATTCATAGGGTTTCTCTTTTGAATGTGTCCTCTGGTGGTCAGTGAGGTTTGACCTTATAGAAAAGGCTTTCCCACATTCATTACATACATGGGGTTTCTTTTCAGTGTTATTTCTCTGATGAATATTAAGAAGTGACTTCACATAGAATGATTTTTCACATTCATTACATTTAAAGGATTTCTCTCCAGTATGACTTCTCTGGTGTGTGATTAAGGTTGATTTCAAGTGGAAGGCTTTCCCACACTCATTACATTCATGTGGCTTCTCCCCTGTGTGTGTCTTTTGATGTTTAGTCAGGGCTGACTTTTTGTAGAAGGACTTCTCACATTCTTTGCATCCATAGGGTTTCTCCCCTGTGCGGGTTCTTTGATGTATAATGAGGATGGAATTCATAAAAAAGGTTCTGCCACACTTATTACATTCAAGGACTTCAAACCAGTGTGGATTTTCTGATGTTTAGTGAGATTTGACTCCACACAGATTTTCCCACATTCGTTGCAGTCATAGGGCTTCTTCCTTGTATGAGATACCTGGTTTATAATTAGGACTGACTTATAACAGAAAGATTCTCCACACTCGGTACATTTGTAAGGTTTCTCTTCTATATGCTTTCCCTGATGTACACGTAGGGCTGACTTACAATGGAAGGATTTTCCACATTCATTACATTCATAGGGTTTCTCCCTGTGTGTGTTCTCTGATGGTCAGCAAATTGTGACTTCTGTAAGAAAGTTTTCACACATTCATTATATTTAAATGGTTTTTCCCCTGTATGTGTTTTCTGATGATGCCTGAAGTTTGATTTTGCAATGAAAGATATTCCACACTCATTACACTGATAGGGCTTCTCTCCTGTGTGAAGTCTCTGATGGATTTTTAGGACTGAGCTATGATGAAAAGATTTCTTGCATTCATTACATATATAAAACTTCTTCTCTGACTGAGTTCTCTGCTGACCAGTAAGGGCTGACTTCACAGGAACATCATCACATCCACTCGGTTTCTCTCCTGTGTGAGAGATCTGCGGGTCAGTGAGTTGTGATTTCTGGAAGGTTTTTCTACATTCATTACCTTCACACAATTTCTCTCTTATATGTGTCTCCTGATGTTTAGTGAGGCAGGCAGGACTCCTGGTGAAAATATTTCTTGCATTGACTACATTCAAAGGTTTTCTCTTCTGTGTGAGTTCTATGAGGTTGGGACATCTTGCTGAAATTATTCTCATTTTCACTAGATTCATGGGTTTTCTCTTCCACATTAACTCTCTGATGCTTAAATAAGGCTGACTTCTCATACTAACTTTGGAGTGATTCTTCCATGTGTGAGTTTCTTGATGGCCTTCAAGGGTTGACTTGTCACTATTTTCCCCATGTTCCTTATAATCACAGGATCTCTCTTCTGTTTCAAATCTTTTATGTATAATAACAGCTGCCTTATTAAGGAAGTCTTCTTCACATTCACTGTCTTCAAAAGGTAGTCCCAAAGTCTGAATTTCCTGTTGCTCAATAAGGTCCTCATTATGATTTAGGGGATTTCCATCTTGGTTAATGTTCATTAGATTTCTTTCCAGTATGAGTATTTTCTTGATTATTATCCAGAAGCAACTTCCCACATGAACTGACTTCATCAGAGTTATTACTTGAATGGTTTTTATCACTAATAATTGATTCTGAAACATTTTCCAAACTCATCCCATGTGAGTCATATTGACAGGGTGTTTTTCTGAAAACATTCTCCCTCTTCTTAGTTAGTGTTTTTTTATTGATGAGTGAAACTTGCCACAAATGCTTATCTTGGTTTTCCTGGCTCCTGTCTATAAGGTAATAAGAAAAATTAGGTATACTTTAAAAATGTTAACACTTTTCCTAACTAAGTAGAATTTATTATATCACTGATTCTCAATTTTCAGTCCCAAACTCCTAGGATGAAATCCCAAGCACGTGTTCCTCCTTGCATCAGATAAAAAACAAAAATATAAAGTACCTGCTAAGTGGAAAAAGTAAAGTACAACTATAGTAAACACACCATATATTTGCTATTTTTAAAATATGACCTTCAGAACTAAAAAGGGGAAACTAAGCACAAGAAAAAGTGAACTGGGGGAAAAGCACAGCAAAGAAATTCACAGATAACTGGGTAACCCAGCAAAAGCTGTGAACAGGAAGTAGAATAGGGGCTACTAGCATGCATAGATGTTCAAGAGAAATAGCATAGGAAGTCTTAGGTGTCGGATAAAACATATGATCTATATCTGTATAAATAGAGCCCACTATCTATATACTAATAGACAAAATAAGATTTACATAGTTGTTCAAAATATACTTATAAATGTACTATATTTTTAAAAACTGTTTATCTCCAACTTCAAGTCACAAATCTGATACAGATTCTTAAATCAGCTAGTCTGCTTTCAGCTTTGGTTCTACTAAAAACTCAGATGTTCTGTACAAATGCATCTTTCTCCTACTCTTCTTTCTTTCCTCCTTCCCCCCTTTCTTCTCTCTCTCTCTTACACACACACACACACACACACACATACTTTCTTCAAATCAGGCCTCAAGCCCCATTTTCTTGAACATTATAGTCATTTTTCATGAACACACTCTGGAAAATGTTAACTTTATCTAAATGGCATTTGATGACATTGAATTTCATAATATATTACATTATTTTGTTCACCCACGTTAATTACATAATTTCAGCCTATGTTCTTAGCAGGTTTTAATGCATCTCCAGTTGCCTTTGAATCCAGAGTATAGAGCTGGTAGCCCTCAACAAGCAGTATGCATTGGAATTACCTGGAAATTTTTATTCAAAATACAGAATATAGATTGTCATGGTCCCGTGTCAATCTGCAGACCCTATGAATCAGAATCTACAGGAATGTTATGTAGTCCTATGTACTCAGGAAATGCTTTCTGAACACATATCGGGATTAACAAATGAGTATATATATTACATACATCAAAAGAAGGATGTATAATATATAAAGTAAAAAAAAGAGACCTTCCATATGGGGACAAAAGCTTCAGGCAATAAACAGACGTTTTCAGTTATCACAGTATTTGATCAAGTCTGAGTTTCTTACGACTTAGCCGATAACTGAAATGGGAATTCTAAGGGAGAGATGAATGTTCACTACAGCAATTAAGAAGCACTTCAAAACAGAGATGAAAGATTTAGCTCAGACATAAATTACATGTAAAGATAAGCACAACAAACTATGTGGCAGGCAGTGCTCGGCCCTTTCTTAAGGATCTAGACAAGCAACCTCAAGAAGAACTGCAGATGTGGGGAAGATCTAGGAGTAATATTTAGGAGGCTGTACCAAATGGACCTTATGAGTTTCTGAGCAACAACAAAAGAGATGAATATGGAATGATATATTCATTTTGAGAAGAGGTGCCCTCTTAAGGAATAGAGGGCAACCCTAAGTTGATATATACGGCCAGCAACAAGGCAAAATGGATAGTTTAGTCTTGAAGTGAGGTACTTAGAAGTAGGAGGGAAGTAAAGCATGAGGAGAAATAAGGTTCTGGTTTGAGTGAAGTCATTGGAAGGTAAAAGTAAAGACTACAGAAGAGTGTTCAAAGGAAAATAAGAGAAACTAGGAAAGATCAGTATTACACATGATTTTCAGGAATAGGAATGTGAGAAGAACAATTTGGAAGAAATTATTTTAGGGTTTTTGCCACATTGACAATGAGAGTACTGGAGCACCTAGGTAAAGTGGAGAGTACAGAGCAGAGAAGTAAAGATGAGGGGGGTAGGGATTTTTCAATCATCAGGTAAAGAAAGAAGTTTAAGTCTTGGGAACAGATGAGGCACAGGGGAAAGTATTATAGAGAATGTCCCTCAGAAGACCTAGTCTTGACAAACTCTTCCCAGAAGTGTGATAATATGATAAAAAAATTGTTATTGTAAGATGCCTTAATTATTGCCAAAATTGGTATAAAATGCCATTTCACTATCATACTTTTTATTTATCTGATTACTAATAAAGTTGTAAATGTTCTCATTTATCATTTGTGTTTATTTCCCATTTGCCTTTTTTTCATGTATGTCCTTTGTCCATTTCTCTGTTGGGTACCTCATTTTAAGACTTTTTCTTATGAATTTGTAGAAACTCATTATTCAAAAAAATTTTACTGATAAAATGTGCTTGGCACTATCCTACAGAGTGGAAATGCAGAAATGAAAAAGTTCCCCAAATACTGTTCTTGTGAAGTTTATATTCTAGTGGGAAAAGCAGCAATAAAATGAATAATATAAAATGCCCTATTTCAATTTCTGTTTGATAAAAGCCATAAATGTATTTTTGATAATAAGCCTTTTCTGGTTACATTATAAATAAGTTATTTTACTTTATGTCATCTCTTGATTTCTTATGTTCTGATGAATGTTCTTAATAAGTCAATTTGTAGTATTTATGTGTTGTTTGGGAAATCCTTTCTTGAGGATCACACATGTATGATCATACATTTTATCAAGATCATATATATATATATATGCCCCTATTTTTTGTCTTCTAGAGTATTTATATACTTTTTTAAGCTGATTTATTTTAAATTGACTTTTATATAATGGTAATAGACAAAAATGTTTTCTCCCAGATAGATAAATAATTTTCTCAGTATCACTTATTGGATAATCTCCCCTTTGCTGGTTCTCTCATATACCTGATTTCTGTATAGGTGGAGCTGGTTATGGGATCTTATTTTTGTTCCATTTATTTTTACACAAATATCACACTCTTTATAACAAGTCATATAAGTAGCACTGATATTTGAAAGGGCAAGCTCCCAAACCTCATTCTTTTTAGGCTTCAAAAAGTGCATTGGTTATTTTGGGGTTTTACTCCTCCAAATTTTAAAATTTTGTATCTAGTAACTAAAATCTGATGTCCTTTACATTTTAATTCCATTCTGATATCCAATCCCCACTTAAGTCTTAAGTTTAGTTCTCTGTTAAATCACTACTCAAAACAGTCTTCTTCTATATTAGTTTATCATTTCTTGATTGGAGTTCATTTTCTAATAGAGTCCTTAAGAAGAATTCATGAGAACATTATTTCCCTGCATTCTTGCATATACTAACTTATTTTATCACTGTCACCTTAATTGAATGACATTTTGTCTACATATAAAATTATAGGGATGTACTTTTAATCTTTAAGGATTTTATAATTCTACACTGCTTTTAGCACTGAATGCTATTATGGATGTCTGAAATGTTTGATTTTTTTCTTTCTCTTGAAAATGACGTAATTCAAATTCTGAGGATTTAATGTACAGTTGTTACTAGTGGTGACTATAGTTAATAATCTGGTGGCGTATGCTTGAAAGTTGTTGAGAGTAGATCTTGATCATTCTCACCACACACACACAAAATTACCCATGTTAATTATTACATAAGGTAATGGATGTGTTATCTTGATCTTAGTAGTCATTCTACAATATGTATCCACATCAAGTCATCATGCTATACACTTTAAATATATACAATTACATTTGTCAATGATTCGTCAATGAAGTTTTAAAACATGACATAATTTTTCATTTTGGCAACCCAAAAGGAATCTTTCTTTGAAAATACAGTAACTTCCCTAGGGTAAATCTTGGTAGTGACCGTTCTGAGTCATTTTTCATAAGTTACACTGTCCTTTTTATGTAGATTTCCAGTCTTCTTTTACGTCAGGAAGTTTTTCTTTATGCATTTGTTCTATTCAATTACTTTTGGCTTTCTACTTTGGGGACTGAGCTGTATGTATGTTGGGTCTTTTTCAGTCTCCCACATGTAATCTCTTTAACTTTTTGTTTCCAGCCCATCTTGCTCACTTTCTCTCTTACAGGTTTGTTCCTGTAGTTTCAGCATCATTGTGCTCCTTCCAATTTCACATTTTATTGTTGAGATTTTTTTTTCTTCAAATGCACTCCCAAGCACTGGAAGCTTACAGATAATCTCCTGTGGTTCTCCATCTCCTTTATCTCCCACCTAAGTTCTTATAGTGCCTATGTACTTTTACATCATAAAAGCAATTGCTTCATTAAGTTGTAAGATGTTCATAGTAAAATACTTGGTCACAATATTTATCTTTATGACAATATTTTTCAGGTGAGTGTTTTTCATTCATGCCTTTTTTTCTTATGAAAACTTCTATGCATCCTGCACTGGCCGCTGTGGACCAAGGACTTTTTATTGAATTTGAATAGCTTTTATTTCTCCTGGAAAATCTCTGGGCATTTTCATATTCAAAGTCCTTTTTCTCCCCAGACTGCTACAAAAACCAATACTTTATGCAGCTAAGGCTTAAACTCCACTTGAACCCCACTCCTCTGCTTCTCAGAACCAAATCAGGTAATAGAGAAGTTCTTGCCACAATCGTGTTCAATCTCTTCCTGATGTTATATTAAGGGTCATGCACCTCACATTTCCTTCTGCAAGTCTCGCTCTGGTTCCAGATGCGAGTACACAGCTTGATTTTTTACTGCTTTCAACAGTTCTTCCACTTATATCATGGTTTCAAGTTCACCTATTTCCCACATTTGTAGAAATAGGAGTCTGCAACTCATTTCTCATTCCCCTGGTTGGTTTTAGATGGCTTACAGGAAGAAAAGGGAAAAAGCTCACTTAACATTTCCATCTGCAAACTAGAAATTCATTATCTCCTTGAAAAGCACCTGTGCTGGTCTCTAGAATATGCTTTCGGCTTCCTTCTATCTTACACACTGACATCTAAGTGTTGTAGAGCTCTGGATTCCAGCATCTTTTCTTACCTTTCCACATCACTCCCCAAGGCTTGGTCATCACTGCAGAACATCTCTTAACTTGCAACTTCCCAATTTAATCTGCACTCCTGTCTTCTCCAGCTCCAGATTTGTATGTCCAAATGCTTCATCAATATCTAAACTTGAAAAGTTAATAATCATCTCGAATCACTGACAATTCTGAAAGTAATCAATTAAAAATTTTCTCCCAAGCTACTCCTACCAACTTTCCCATCTCAGTGACCACCACCCACCTCCTCATGTGGCTCAAATACTAAGTTTGCCTTTATCCCACACACCACATTCTATTCAACAGCAAGTCCTACTCTCAACACACAGCCATGTTCATCCCCTCCACTGCCACATTACCCACACAAACTGTTTCTCATCTGAACCCTGCAAGCACCTCCCCTGGGGAAAGCAAAAACCATCAACACCCCCACAGCTTTGTCTCCACATGAACTTGACTACCAGTCCATGTTTTCATCAATAGGACTTTACTACATCAGGAAAGTCTTGCCCAGGAAACTAAAAGTTGCAAACGACTTTAATGTTCAGTTGATTTTTTACTGCTTTCAACAGTTCTTCCACTTATATCATGGTTTCAAGTTCACCTATTTCTCACATTTGTAGAAGCTTCCCTAAAACCTTATAAACAAACTGCTCAACTTTCCAACAAATAATGAACTTTTATTCTCCAGGACTCTTCAATCCTTGCTGTGTCCACAAATCCTAAACTATTACATTAGCATCCTTACCCAGTGGTTATCAAGCCCCTGCATTAAAAAATATACTTTAATTCATATTCTCAAACCTCATTAAAATTTTTTTTGTTTACTCCCATCCATCATCATGCTACTAAGACTGTCAGGGTGTGCAATAAACAAACTTCCCTTACCAATGGGTGATTTGGGTGGTGCTTTGGTAGAGCAAGCATTTCACATTGTCTTTCTGCTTCTATTTCTGTCCACCATCCCTGCCCCTGTCTCAAATTTTCTCTGGATGGTAGCCAAAGAAATTCTTTTAAAACATAATCAGTTGTGAGTTAGGGCAGCCAACATCCAAAAGACAAGAAACAACAAATGCTGGCAAGGATGCAGAGAAAGGGGAAACCCTACACCACTGATGGGAAAGTAAATTAGTTCAACAATTGTGGAAAGCAATATGGAGGTTCCTCAAAACACTAAAAATAGAAATACCACTTGACCCAGTAATTCCACTGCTAGGAATTTACCCGAAGAAAACAATATCTCAGATTCAAAAAGACATATGCAAACATGTTTGTCACTCAACTATTTACAATAGCCAATTTATGGAAGCAACCTAAGTGTCTGTCAGTATATGAATGGATAAAGAAGATGTGGTACACAAAAGAATATTATTCAGCCATAAGAAGAAAATAAATTCTACCATTTGCAACAACATAGATGGAGCTAGAGGGTATTATGCTCAGTGAAATAAGCCAGGCAGAGAAAGACAAGTACCAAATGATTTTACTCATTTGTTGAGTATAACAATAAAGCAAAACTGAAGGAACGAAACAGCAGCAGACTCACAGACTCCAAGAAGAGACTAGTGGTTACCAAAGGGAAGGGGATGAAGAGAATGGGTGGGGAGGAACAGAGAAGGGGATTAAGGGGCATTATGATTAACACACATGATATAGGTAGGTCACAGGGAAGGCAATACGGCATGGAGAAGACAAGTAGTGACTCTATAGCATCTTACTATGCTGATGGACAGTGACTGCAATGGGGTGTGGGGTGGGGGACTTGATAATATGGGTGAATGTAGTAGCCACAATGTTGCTCATGTGAAACCTTCATAAGATTGTTTACCAATGATACCTAATAAAAAAAAACAATCATTTGTGGAAACCCATTAATAGCTAACCATCTCATTCAAAATAAAGTCAAAGCCCTTGCCATGTTCTGAAAGACATCACTTGCCCTCTGGCTAGCTCTCTGATGTCACTCCCACCAGCATTCCTCTCAGATGCTTCCCTAAAGCCATACTGGCCTCCCTATTCCCAGAGCACCTCCAATAAAATCCTGCCATAAGAACTTGGCCCAGCTTTCCCTTCTGTCTGGAACCCCCAGAATGTACCTGACTCCTTTATCTGCTCTAATGCTGACCTCATCAAAAAGAAAATCTTTAAAAGAGCACACCCCACACCCTATCTCCTTTCAGCTTGCTTTAATTTTCTTCATGGTCCTTGTCACCACTTGGTAAGTAGGTTTATTTTTTTACATCTATCTCCCCTGCTAACAGGTAAGCTCTAAGAGCTAAGGGACACTTATGTTCACCACAATATCACTAACACCAAGATGATGGGTGGCATCGTAGGAACATTTGAAGAATTAATTAATGTCTGCTGGTGCGGGTAGAGGCCATGAAAATGGAAGGGAAAGGAATACTAGAAAAAGAAGAGCCAAGAACGAAGGTCTAAGTTGAGACAGGCAGGGGTTCAATAATGGGGACAGGAATGGCCTATTTCCCTAACAGCAAAAAAGGAAAGCATTTGTATTTCAGAGTGATAAATGGAAGGTTATCTGAGGCATGCTGGCTTGCTGTTTAGTTACTTCTAAAGGGCTGAGGACAGTAAATAGAAATCCTGAGACACAGGACACAGGTCCCAACCTCAGAACCAACACACCTGGGACCCAGTTTCCTCTAGCTTCTGTCTTTCCCCTGTAATGATTAACTCGCCTGGATCACGATGATCTGGGAATTCTCCCTCTAGTGGCCAAGGCTCTTCTTGCTCCAACCTGAAGATCACCTCTCGTTTGATGACGCAATACCCTCCAAGGGAGGTAAGAAGTAAGACTTCTTAGGAGCTGCTGGGACACTGGGGCCTCTGAAGGACATGGAAGGTGTAACTTTAGGAGTCACATGATAAAGGTGCCATTTTGAACCTTTCATTATGGAGGGAATGAATGGGAAAATTTATCTTTCACCCATGAGATGTACACACAAATATTATTAAACTCCACAGAGAGCCCATAAATTTTGACAGCTAAGAAGAAAGAAATGCATGCTGTAAGGTATTACACAGAGAGAACGCCTCACCCACAAAAACCAGGTGGCTGTAGTTCTCCAGCATCACATCCTGGTACAGGGTCCTCTGTGTACCTGTCAGCTGTAGCCATTCATCCCGGGTGAAGCTCACAGTCACATCCTTGAATGACATGGATACCTGACAAACACATTTCTGTTCAAGCCAAAGAGATCGCAGTGAGTGACAAGAAAGGCATGTATTACCATAAATGAAATAACATGTTTATTTTGAGAATTTGCTATAAATATCATATAGGTTGCCTAATCTACACTTTTGTGTTTTACTTTGTAGGATAAAGTGATACCATGATAGGAAAACTCAAAGACAGTATATTAACTTATTAATTCAAACAAAAAAACTAAAAGTACTTACCATTTGTCTAAAACTTCCAGGAATGTAGGTAGTTAAATCAATCCTTTTTTTTCCTACCCTTAAGCAGCTTAAATCTTAGTAGAGACCAATCATAGTTATGAACATCTATCCTGTAATAAGATATTATGACAACCATGCTAGGATCATTTATAATTAACAATGGTAGGAAATATGGCTGTATTTTCTATTGTTAGATGCTGGACTTCCATGAATAGATCTTGGGTAATGTGGCACCATCACATAAGCAGAGACAAAGAGGCCTTAAAAAAGTACGTAGCAGTGTGAGAGAACAGGGTTCAGGCCTGGGAGAAGACAAAGAGGTGCAAAGATACTCTGGAATACATTATGGAGCAATTTCGGACTTATTCCTGTAGTTTAGTGGTCTCCAAAATACTTCATCAACACCCTAGCAACAAAGTTTTTAGTACCCAAAATTTATTTTTAAATAAATAATATATGTATCTTGCCAATCCACCCAAAAATGATAAGCCTAACTGATCTCTTCTTTTTCTGGTTAAAAGTTAAATACAGACAAAAGGGATTAAAGATGCAGCATGAGAGGTGAGACAGAGAACTCCTCCCCAAAACACATATAATACGAAAATATAGTTAATACAACTAATCCTAAAAGAGCAACAGGAAAGAAGGCTGCACCAGACTGCATACACCTGAAGAACAGAGCAGACCTCATGAAACAGGGTAACATACCAAAGCCTTGATCCTGAGGAACCCAAGCCCTTCCCCCACCCCAGCTCACCAACAGGAGGGAGACAGACAGAGCAGGGAGAGGGTGGAAGCCTAGGACTGCTGAACACCCAGCCCTGGAGACCTGCTTTGGGAGCATGAACCTGGATGAACCTTCAGGACATTATGCCAAGTGAAATAAGCCGGTCACAAGACAAATACTGTATGATTCCACTTATATGAGGTACTTACAATCATCAAAATTATACAGAAAGGAGAATGGTGGGGGTCAGGGGTGGGAAGGGGAGGGTGGGAAATGGGGAGTTAGTATTTAGGAGAGACAGAGTTTCAGTTTGGCAACATGAGACACGTTCAGGACTTGGAACAAGATGGCTGCACAATAATATGAATGTACTTAATACCACTGAACTGTATATTAAAAGTGGTTAAAACAGTAAATTCTGTGATTTATTTTACTACACTAAAAAAACTGGAAGAGGAGGAGCCAAGATGGCAGAAGTAGGACAGCAGAAATCTCCTCCCAAAAACATACATATTTTTGAAAATACAACAAATACAACTATTCCAAAAAGAGAGACCAGAAGATACAGGAAAACAGCCACACTACATGTACACCTGTAAAAACTCAGCGCCTTGCGAAGGGGGTAAGATACAAGCTGCAGCCCAGCGGGACCCAAGCAGCCCTCACCCCAGCTCCCGGCGGGAGGAGAGGAGTCGGAGCGGGGAGGGAGAGGGAGCCCAGGACTACTAAATACCCAGCACTAGCCATCCATAAAGGGGGTGCAGACACACAGTGCGCGGGGTGATGGATACTAGGGAAATGGGACACTAAAACCTGCGAGCAGGTCCCCGCAGCCAGCGCCCCTGGGACAAAGAAAAGCGAGTGCTTTTTGAAACTCTTAAAGGGACTGGGACCCCACATATGGACAGAGGCATCCCGGCACAATCAGCTCAGCAGCTGGGAACCCAGGGAACTCCGGGCACCCTAACTCCGTGGGCGGCAGTGCAGCTCTGAGGCCCCTCACGGCGATAAACAGCCTTCCGCCTGATCCCCTTCGGCACTGAACGCCGTGGGCGGCTGTGCAGCTCCGAGGCCCCTCACGGTGATAAACAGCCTCCCGCCCGATCCCGCTTCAGCATGGCCCCACCATAGCAACAGTGCGCGGAGCTTCCTTCACAGCAGCCAGGCAAGAATCAGAAACCCTAATCTGCACACAACTGCCCAGCACAATCCACTAGAGGTCACCATTCTTCCAGAAGACAAGGGCCACAAACAAGCAAGAAGGGACATTCTCCCAACTGACATGTACCAACTACCCACAACTATCTCTATCACCATGAAAAGGCAGAAGAATTTGATACAGACCAGATTAACCCAGACAGTATCCTCTGAAAAGGAATCTGGGGAGCTAGACCTAACCAATCTTCCTGAAAAAGAATTTAAAACTAAGGTCATAACCATGCTGATGGACTTGCGAGAAATACGCAAGAGCTAAGGAGGGAGAATACAGAAATAAAACAATCTCTGGAAGGATTTAAAAGCAGAATGGATGAGATGCAAGAGGCCATTCATGGATTAGAAACCAGAGAACAGGAATGCATAGAAGCTGACACAGAGAGAGATAAAAGGATCTCCAGGATTGAAACATTATATTAAGAGAACTGTGTGACCAACACAAAAGGAACAACATCCACATTATAGGGGTACCAGAAGAAGAAAGAGAAAAAGGGATAGAAAGTGTATTTGAAGAAATAATTGCTGAAAACTTTCCCAAATGTGGGGAGGAAATAGTCACTCAGACCACAGAAGTACACAGACACCCCAACAGAAGGGACAAAAAGGAGACAACACCAAGACACATAATACTTAAAATGGCAAAGTTCAAGGACAAGGGCAGAATTTTAAAGGCAGCTAGAGATGAAGAAAAAGGTCACCTATAAAGGAAAACCTTACAGGCCAGAAGAGAATGGCATGATATATTTAATGCAATGAAACGGAAGGGCCTTGAACCAAGAATACTATATCCAGCACAATTATCATTTAAATATGAAGGAGGGATTAAACAATTCCCAGACAAGCAAAAGTTGAGGGAATTTGCCTCTCACAACCCACCTCTACAGGGTATTTTAGAGGGGGACTGCTCTAGATGGGAGCACTCCTAAGGCTAAATAGATGTAACCAGAGAAAATAAAATCACAGCAAAGAAAACAGACCAACCAAATACTAACTAAAGGCAAAAAATAAAATCAACTACCCACAAAAGCAGTCAAAGGAAACACAAAACAGCACAGAATAAAACACCTAACATATAAAGAATGGAGGAGGAGGAATAAGAAGGGAGAGAAATAAAGAATCATCAGACAGTGTTTATAATAGCTCAGTAAGTGAGTTAAGTTAGACAGAAAGATACTAAAGAAGCTAACCTTGAACTTTTGGTAACCACGAATCTAAAGCCCTCAATTGTAATAAGTACATATCTTTCAATAATCACCCTAAATGTAAATGGACTGAATGCACCAATCAAAAGACACAGAGTAACAGAATGGATAAAAAAGCAAGACCCATCTATATGCTGCTTACAAGAGACTCATCTCAAACCCAAAGACATGCACAGACTAAAAGTCAAGGGATGGAAAAAGATACTTCATGCAAACAACAAGGAGAAAAAAGCAGGTGTTACAGAATAGTATCAGACAAAATAAATAACAAGAGATAAAGAAGGACATTACATAATGATAAAGGGGTCAGTCCAACAACAGGATATAACCATTATAAATATACATGAACCCAACACAGGAGCACCAGCATATGTGAAAGAAATACAAACAGAATTAAAGGAGGAAATAAAATGCAATGCACTCTTTTTAGGAGACTTCAACACACCACTCACACCAAAGGATAGATCCAGCAGACAAAAAATAAGTAAGGACACAGAGGCACTGAACAACACACTAGAACAGATGGACCTAATAGACATCTGTAGAATTCTACATCCAAAAGCAACATGATACACCTTCTTCTCAAGTACACATGAACATTTTCCAGAATAGACCACATACTAGGCCACAAAAAGAGCCTCACTAATTCAAAAAGATTGAAATCCTGCCAACCAACTTTTCCAACCACAAAGGTATAAAACTAGAAATAAATTGTCCAAAGAAACTAAAAAGGCCCTCAAACATATGGAGGCTTAACAACATGCTCCTAAACTATCAATGGATCAACGAACAAATAAAAATAGATATCAAACAATAAATGGAAACAAATGATACCAACACAAAGTCCCAAATTCTGTGGGACGCAGTGAAAGCAGTCTTAAGAGGAAAATATATAGCAATTCGGGCATATTTAAAGAAGGTAGAACAATCCCAAATGAACAGTCTAACATCACAATTATTGAAACTGGAAAAAGAAGAACAAATGAGGCCTAAAGTCAGCAGAAGGAGGGACATAATAAAGATCAGAGAAGAAATAAATAAAATTGAGACAAATAAAAAAATAGAAAAAAATCAATGAAACCAAGAGCTGGTTGAGAAAATGAACAAAATAGATAAGCCTCTATCCAGACTTATTAAGAGAAAAAGAGAATCAATACACATCAACAGAATCAGAAACGAGAAAGGAAAAATCACGACGGACCCCACAAAAATACAAAGAATTATTAGAGAATACTATGAAAACCTATAAGCTAACAAGCTGAAAAACCTAGAAGAAACGGACTACTTCCCAGAAAAATACAACCTTCCAAGACTGATCAAGGAAGAAACAGAAAATCTAAACAAACCAATTACCAGCAAAGAAATTGAATCGGTAATCAAAAAACTACCCAAGAACAAAACCCCTGGGCCAGAACAAATCCCCGGGATTTACCTCAGAATTTTATCAGACATACAGAGAAGACATAATACCCATTCTCCTTCAAGTTTTCCAAAAAATAGAAGAGGGAATACTCCCAAACTCATTCTATGAAGCCAACATCACCCTAATACCAAAACCAGGAAAAGACCCCACCAAAAAAGAAAATTACAGACCAATATCCCTGATGAATGTAGATGCAAAAATACTCAATAAAATA